ATAGATAGATAGATAGATAGATAGATAGAATTTTTTATGAATAATTCTTTACACTAGCAATTGATCAGAGTGAAGTTTGTGGCCCTGAGCTTAAAAACATAGCTCAAAAAGCAAGGAAATAAGTGTTTTGTAGATTATTTCTTTGTTGTAACAATGCTTCTTTGCAGTAAATCTTATACCGTTATTAATTTCTCTTTTAAATGCTGCCACATTTGTAAGGAACGTGCATCTGTGCGATGAGCAGTAGAGCTGAGTATGTGGGTTGTGCACATGAAAAATTTGCCAAATTTTCTCTGTCAAACAGCTTGTTCTGCTGTTGCTATTGACTCTTTTTTTTTAGCTTCTGGTACCTCCAGGTGCTGCCAATCAGGTGCTGGTAAATGATTTATTACCAGGAATCATTGTTACGAAGGAATAATTTACCAAACATACATTTCTTTATGTTTTATGCCAAGTAGATCTTGTTCATTTGAGTTTCTTGTTATGTCACCTGGAGGTTTCAGAGCCGGTGAACCGTGTTGTAGAAAAATAAGACTCAATGATAAAATACTGACACAGAATTGTCCTGGATGCTGGAAATCTGTTCACAGTTTGATCAGCATTCTGCCTCCTTTACAAGAACACCAGTGACGTTGTTTTGTCTTATTGATAAACTTCAAAAGAATGCGTTCAGACAATCTGAAATCAGGCTCTAGAGCATCAGTGTGTATCATCCCTCTTGATATTTCTTTTGTGATAAGTGGTAGAAAAAAATCAACACGCTCGGTCCTCCTGTCTCTTATCTTTTTTGCCTCGACAAACAGAACCACGCATGCCAAAGCTCTTTTCTGTTTAACAAAAGACCGAGCTTTAACTTATCTGCAAACATTTTTAATTCTCTTTGTATTTCTATTATTATTAGTTTGTGTTTTTGGTGGCTGTCATCTTTATAAAGCAGAAAACACTGCAGAGAATCAGGACGTAATCTAAATATAAAACGTTTTTATCATTTCAAGCTGCGTGTCAAGTTAATCTTAACCAACGAACAAAAAGGGTGGTTTTAGGTTTTGAGTCTTTATCTTTAGACAGTTACATGATGATTGTGTTGGTTTTCAGCATTAAAACGTGTGTAAAAAGAACACTGCCAGCCTGTATGAAACATAATCAGTGAATTTCTATATACAGTAACAATGTACAGATGCAATCATGCTGTCCTACTTTGACTAAATAGTGTCAGACGTTTTATTTTACYATTACTATAATTAATAAATTCTCAAAAAGTTAGTCATTATTCAATTTATTGGAAGGAAATGGGTTTGAAAAGATTGTTACCAGCGTAGTATCAGTTCAAAACTGAGTCASAGTGAGAGGAAGTTCTTAAAGCTGTACAGAAAAGGAAGCAACATGACTATTTTTTACAACAACAACATCATCATCATATTTCAGACACACACACCCATTACTCTGATGGGAAAACGCAGTTCAGGCCCCGTTTAACAGGAAAGTTAAATCTGTCTCAGGATGTGTGTTTCAGCACAGACAATAGAAAATGCCTCACCTTTTAGTGGGTTAATGTCAGAGAGAGGGGAAAACAACAATGATGTATTTAACCACACACTGCGCCCAAAATTATAGGTTCAAAATCAGTGRCTTTAACTTTTCTACAACAGAAAGTGTTTATTTAAAAGTAAATTCTGTTTCAACAGATTCATGGAGCTCAGAGCTGATTGATATTTGACATGAAGCAGCTTATCAGTATTAGTTTGTTTAAGGCCCTGTCACACTAGACAACTTATGCCAACTTATGGCACATTTTTATGTCTAAATTGCTAATACAAGTTGTATATTTGATCAATTTGTTGAAATCACATTATGTACACATAGAAATTAAGCTTCACGTTGATTTTTTCAATTCCTTCTTCAATGTAGACRTCTTTAAAATGTTCATAAGTTGGTATAAGTTGTCTAGTGCGACAGGGCCTTTAGTAAAATTAGCCGCCTTATATATATTCTGACAGAGAAGAGGAAGTCGTGTTGATGCACATGAAATCATTTGCATTTTAAAGAAAAATGTGTGCACCAAATTTTGGAACCCACCACAGCACGTACGTCAGTCTGCTTCCTTATTGACAAGCGAGTTTGTGCCAGTAATCTAAGGTGTGTGTGGGGGGGGTCACCACCGGATGTAAACCCCTCAACCTCAAAAACAGAAAGTCAGGGCTGCACTTCCAGTAACCTGTTCAAATAAATTTTATGGAGAAATTAAAAAGAAAAAAAAAAACACAGCTTACAATTAATTACCTAAATGTCTACATGTTGGATCTGTAACAGCAACGTTCACCTCACAATCATAAAAACAACCTTGTATACAGGTACATAAATTTAAAAAAAACTATGATTATGAAGTTGGATAATGACTGGCGTATTTTTAAGTTATTCAAACTAAATGTTAATATTCTCAGCATGTATGGTTTGGTTGTAAGAAGGGACAGGACTTGATGCTAGTTGTTTTATCCTGCCCCTTCTTAAATTATTGTTCCTTTTTTTCTTCTCTTTTTTATTATATAAACAGATGTTATGTCTGAGATAAAACAAACTTTAAATATCTTGTTTTGACGCACTGTGTTTAGTCTTTCCTCTGCCTATTAAARACCACTGGCTTAGACCAGAAAACAGACGTCTGAACAGGTCATTTTAATATTTTGTGAAACCGAAACAGAGCCAAGTGTGAAGTGTCTCTAATAGGTGAGTTTTTGTTTCATCAGAAATACAACAGTGGTCTGGAAAATAAAACTAGAGTTCAGAACAGTTATGTATCACTTCATGAAACACTTGATGATGAATGTGTGAACTAATCTGYCGTCACATTCAGGCTGCAGCAGCAGGGTGAGGCAGGGTACCTAATGGAGCAGGCTGAAGGGTTTTTACTGCCACCTGTGGGTCAGTGAGGGAAGTCAGCTGGTTAAATGAACATCAGAGGGTTATGATATTATATAAAGTCACTAGAGGCGCTATCATGAGACGTTTCATGGTCGGAGCCAGCAATTTTGTTTTTCATCAGTTGATTTTAGTAAGGCGGGATAACTGTGGGAAACCAGCTCATAGCTATACAATTTGCTAAACTTTATTTAAAAGTATTCTAATCTTTTATAACAAAATCAGTTAGCTGAAGTTTTTCTTGTTGTCTGGGATTTCCTTGTGCAGCTTGTGACTAACTGCTTGATGAAAGTCGAATTTCTTCCATGACRAAAAACTAATATTTGTAAGCAGTTTACTCAGAACTCTAGCCAGGGTAAAGTGTTTACATTGACAGCCCGCCACTCACAATATGGTGTAGCACTCGTACCTCAGTGGACTATCTTCTATTCTATATGCAGTACCTCATTGGGTTAGACTGAATGGTTTTTGTTTCTGTTTRTTAATCTGGTGTGTTTTCTGTGCAACAGCCCATTCCAGTGTTCCTGTCACTCATACGGAGGTAGCTCGTCCAGAACAGCCATCTCACTGCCAAGAGACCTGCATCATGAACGACAATAAATTACCTCTTTTCACTTCAGGTAAAAAAAAAAAATCACTGCCTTTTATAGTTTCATGATTCTATATCTACTCACTGAGATGATAAACTGAGGCAAAATAAAAGCGCAGCCATGTTTGGGCCGCTCTGAAAACAATCTCAGTCTTTTGATCCCAGCTGACCCAGAAGCTTTACAAACTGGACATGTGTACAAAGGCAGCTTTGTTTAACTACAGCCTCTGATGTAATACAATACCAGGAAGAAAATCACTAAATACAAAACAGGGTCAAAGAAAAMCAGCTCAGTCTCCGTTTGGTTTACCCAGAACAAAAAGGTGAAAAAGAACTAAACAAACGTTGAGACATTTAAAGAAATTGTTACAGAAACATTTGTAAACTTGTTACTTTAAATAAAAATATTCCTATATTTATTTACTAACCTACATGGTATCTTTGACAATTTATTTGC